GCCGTCTGTAGCATAGTTTTGCGCAGGCTTCGGAATCGATCGTATAGATCGATTTCTAAGCTCTGATCGATCGATTTGTATCGATCACCACCTTCGCTCGATCGATATCGATCGAGCGGCCCTCCAAGTTGATCGATATCGATCGATCACTGGTCTAAATCGAATCGATCGATATCGATTGACGATCAAATTGATCAAAACTAGTCCTCATTATCCATATCTATGTTGATCCTGCCTGCAAGTTGAAGAACTTGCCTCCAATTGTCCCCTTCAAGGAGACTAAGAGGAAGAGTGGGTTGATAAATACCAGCCTTACTCCACGAACGAAGGCACTGGGCCATGGCCACAATATGCCGTCGTAGGCGAGATCTGGATGGCGTTAGCATCCTCCCACAACTGCTGAATTCCCTCTCAGTTTCCGCGGATGACGATGCAATAGTAAGAAAGTCTACAGCCATATAAGACAGCCGAGGAAAGCGCACAGCACCAACATCCCTCCACCAAGCAATTGGGTCAGCTTTGTATGCAATATTGTCCACTGGCGGCTCCGAAAGATACTGATCAAGCTCGTCCTGGACTGATGATGCTTCAGGCTGTTCTGGTCGTTTATTTTGTCGCCTTTGGGAGTCTGGGCATGTCAACGACCGACCAAACGCCAATCGGCGCTCAATATAGTCCAAGGCACTGCTGCTCCCAGCCACTGAATCGCCGCTACAGGCTGCCACATGAGCCATGATTTTATACCTATCTTCCCAAATTCTCCTTAAGCTTCTCCCATACGCCTTCTTCCATTCTGTTGTCTGGCGAGATGGCAGCTGGTTCCAAAGCTGCTCTAGGACTCGCCATTTCTTGCATGGGTGGAACACAACAGCCGCTACATACGCAGTAGAGGTTAACTTGTCATAGTAGTCGTTCAGCTTCTTCCATCCGAGCTTGATGTAAACCTTTAAAAGCCTCCTGGTCTTCGTATCCATGTCATCGAACAGATGAATCTCTTCCATGACCTGGTCGTCATTCTCTTCGATTACCACCCCCTGAACAGCCAGCTCAAGGTGGTCAAGAAGCATCTCCACCACCTGAAAGTACTCGTCGAACCCCCCTGAAGTGGACCGTTTACCAGGAATGCCCTCACCTTGGAGTTGCTTGGACGCGATCTTAAATGGCTGAAGAATCTTCTGAACGGCAGCAACAACTTTCCATTCCTCAAGGGAAAGCTTTTCTTTCAAGATTGCGGGCTTGTCTTGTTCTTTTCCGCCTTGGCTAACCCATCGTTCCTCGATGTTAGAGAGCATCCTGTTCAAAGCTGAACGTTTTAGCAGAGCTCGCGATGCCATTGCTTCATCGGATTGCCAACGAGTACAGACGTTTTGAACCCACGCCAGAACAGGTTCAGTAGGAGTCGTTTGCCGTTGAGCTTCATGAAAGTCCTCCAGAAGTTGGCTGCTTGTTCGCAGAGCAATGCCAATATTGTGTAGCTTGCCAAACGGCCCGAACTTGCGGTACTTGTCCATTCCCTCGGCGTTGATAATGTCAGGAACAGGGCACTGATCTTGGCTCCCCTCTGGGGTTGCCTCAAGCTCGAAGTCTTCTTCCAGGCTCGGCGCGGCAAAGTCGTCGTCGTCGGTCCTCAGCTCATTGATCGCGTCGGACAACTGGCTCTGCTCGTCTTCTTCGGTCATAAAGTCCTTATCGCCCCAATGGGCAAGAAGTTCGCCGAAATTGTCCCTTTTGCTGCCATACATCATTGACCTGACTGCCAGGTTCAGAAAATGGGGGGCGCAGCGAATGCGACGTTCATCCCTATCAAAGCCGAACTCAGTGCCGAGCGCTTCCATAGCCGTGTCATTATTCGTAGCGTTATCAAGCGTGCAGTATCCGATTCTGAAGCCGAAGAACAGTTAACACTCGGTTTGCTTACCCACGGAAAATCTTGGCCATGTCTTTATACCTGTCTTGAAGACCATATGCGCATATCGTATCTGCAACTTCGTCTGCAAGGGCTGCTCCAGTGTGGCGTTTCCTGAGAGCTGGGAGAGCCAAAAGAATTCTCCATTGTTTCCAATCTTGGTCGATGAAGTGCGCGTTGATACCAAGGAAAGATGCGTTTTGCCTAGAAGTCCAGCCGTCAAAGGTAAAATGAATCATACTTCTTGCTTTTTGAAGCAGCCTGTGAACAGGTGCAAGAGCTCGATTGTACTCGTTCACTAGGAGGCTCACAAGTGTCTTGTCGCTTGGTATTTGCCCTTCCTGGAGAGACGGGTTGTTGTAGAGTAGGAGACGTTTGAAGCGGTCGGACTTTACGAGATTAAAGGGAAGGTTATGATACGTAAGCCAGTCGAGTAGGAGTAGTTGATTCATCTTCGGATCGAATAGCGTATGTAAGTTGCCCAGAAGTGTTTGGTCTCGGGGGTTCATTGGATCGGCGCGAAGCATGCCAAGGAGGTTCCGTTCTGCACCTCCACTCCCGACAATCACGCTGGCATCTTGTCTGGAAGGTGGCTGACAAAAGTTAGCTAGCGCTTTAAAAAAAAATGATAACAAAGCATAGAGAGATGGAACAAACCATGACTTTATGCTCCTTTCTCAGATGGCGGATAATGCTTCCGGCAGTTGAGGCGATGAACACGTAATGTGTAGACCTCAGTTTGTTCCGGAGGAAGCATTTCTCGCAGACCCATATGATCTTGTGGGACTGAGACCTGTTGTCCTTCATTCTGAATCCGAATTGCCACCACCATGTCCGCTCTCGAGTCGGGTCGTGGCACGTCGTGAAACCAGGGAATCGTTCGAACTTGTCAGTCGTCCAAGCTTCATAATCTGGAAACCGGCTAGGTGCATCTTTTGTTGAGACTGAACTGGCTGACGGCTCGTAAGGCGACGGAGTTAGGGAAACATCCTCATTCTCTTCATCAAACGAGTCCATCGTGAGTAGAATGTCCACAATTACCTTGAAGGCCGAATCAAACGCCGCAAGGCAAGCAGAATCACCTTTAAAAGGCCTACGAGGACAGGTTGGTTCGGATGTGCGACCCCTTTTCTTCGCGTCTTATCTCATTACAGAGCTGCGTGTGGCTTCGTGCGGCTGCAGTGTGGCTTGCAGGGGAGTTTTTGCAGGCACGTTTGGGGACACATTCATCTCGTTTAACCAACTTTCGCATCCTACCCGGAACCAGCACAAAAATACCTCGATCGACGATCAAATCGATCGATTGAGGGCTAGATCGATACGATATCGATCGAGCGGCGACACCAGTCGATCGATATCGATCGACTGACAGGTCTGATCGATATGATCGATATCGAAATCGATTCGATTAATCGATTCGATCATATCGATCGCTCGATCGATTCCGAAGCCTGCTTTGATGTCAATCCAACTTCAACCCAGTTGTCTCATCTCCATCCTGGTTCCAGTGTTGCTAATAATATA